ACCAACATTACTAATCACAACTAACAATTTACAATAAATATTAACCATTTATATTATTATTGCCACCCCACTTACATATTACTATCACACCATATCTACCATTACCATATAATCCTGCCATAATTATTAACGTAAACTACCCCCTCTCCTAGCATATTTAATACCACCATAAAAATAACCAATAAGGATTACAAACTGAAATTTCTACCAGTCACATATACACAGTCACAAAAAACAAACAAAAAAACAAGGAAATAACCAGCTTTAATATAATAACAATAATAATTTTGTAAATTAAAAATTAAAAATTATAGCAATCTTCAACTACCATAATTTTACACAGAATACCTATTATCAGGATTTATACCAAAATAAATTAATACATATAACAAAATAAAATAAAATAAAACACCAACAACCACTTTTTAGTTCAAGCTACCACCACTATAACTACATTCATGGTTTTATCATTCTCCCACCACCGTTACTAATCATTTCTACCAATTTACAATTTCTACCATTTTACAATAACTATTAGCTAATTATATTATCATTGTCTCCAATCCCTTGCAACATTACTATCACATCATATCATATAGACCCGCTATTAAATTAAACTACCGTCTCACCCAGCACATTAAATATTAAACATCACCATATAAATTAACCAATAAGGATTACAAATGTCTACCTGTTACATATACACAGTCACCAAAAACAAACAAATAACCAGCTTTAAATATAACAAATAAACCCCATTTTTTTTTTTTAAAAAAATATAAAAATAAAATTTTACCTATATAATTTTAAAACCCCATCACACGTACATTTTACATGCAAGGAAATATTATCGGAAAAATAATTGTATACATTCAAACATTCATGAGACATTTCCACACACTCCCAATCTTTAAATTTCAACATACAAATGCGTATGTATAGACACAACACCACCCGTATGCAATATCCGAAACTGCCCACATATGTTTATATATGTATGAGTGGACAGAACCAATATGTATATGTGTCTACATATCGATGTTTGCGTTAGTACGATGACATAAGCGACGAAGTTTCCCTCACCACTTCCACAATAACACCAATACACGCAATCTATATAAACCCAAATTTAAAAAAAAATTAATCAGTTTGTCTTGAAGCGTGAAACCCAGGGCCACAAACTCACATCTATCCAACCAAAATGTTAGCTCTATCTCAGATATTGAGACTTTCTAATAAGTACCACGCATATAATATATAAATAATTATACATGTATATATTTATTTATATTTATATACACTTTTCACACACACACACACACACACACACAAACATATATATATATATATATATATAGATATATATATATATATATATATATATGGAGGCATGGTGGAAATGGATAGACAGTGCTTGAATTGGAATCCTCGAGTTCAGTATATATATATTATATATATATTTATAAAAGTAAACTCTTAAAAATGTTAAAATTCATATTTACACCGTAATGTTATGATCGTGGAGAAAATTTATATATATATATATATATATATATATATATATATGAGCGAAATAAGTGATGGATCCTCAGTTCGAAGCTTTTATTTTTTTAAAAATGTTCAATACAAAGTAGAGCTAAATATTTTTTATAATATTTTTATAATAATAAACTTGAATAAAACATTTTACATCGCTACACAGAAACATTCATTATTTACATTGTTTGGACGATCATCCTCATCTTTGTCGCCATATTTATCACTACGTTTCGGCCGTTATACGTTCCGGCCTTCTTCAGGTGGTTAGAATGTCGAAGTCAACCCTTTATTTCGCTCGCTGGGTTAGACTGTTCCACGTGCCATGTATAACGGATGTCAGTTATCAGTTTTCTTCTGTTAATTCCTCTCTCCATGTTCTCCACCGACATAAGCAGGTATTGAACTCAAACACTTTGTGTTCTGTCACCGGATCTAACCAATGCATTTATCCACTGTGCCATTTGTCCTTGAGAACAGTCTACCCCAGCGTGCGAAATTTCAACCACCTGAAGAAGGCCGGAGTATACATATAGTTCTGTAACGTTGTGATAAATATAGCAACAAAGATGAAGACAATAGTTCGAATAATGTAAATAGTATACATAATGTCTCATCTCAGAACTATAGACAGATTCTTTTTTTGTTTTGTTTTCCGTAGGTGAATAAATTTACAATGAATCTAGATATCAAACTGAGCCCCCAATTACGAAATATTGATAATCGTGATCTAGAGTGCTAAATCTATAGTAATATGATACAAATGTAAAAAAAAAAAAATAAATGAAAAAAAAAATCTTTTTGGTCGCAGTGCGCAATGTAAAAGTCAATCGGTACTGGAGGGGACGTCAATTTTGAAACCGTGCTATTGCACTTAATTTGAAAGTTGAGGTCTGACAAGATAAATAAAGACACAAAACATTTTTTTCCAAATTGTTACCGTTTTTGGGTTTTTTTTTAGTTTAAAATTAAGTTTTGGTTCGAAATCGTAACGTTGCAATTTCATTGCAACGTCCAATGAAAGCCTTATATAATATCCTGAAGTTTCACAAACAGTATATGGAAATATACATAACATAAGCACAATATTATTAAATCATTCGGCCTTCAAATAAGATTTTCATTTACTACAAAAGAAATTATACGGAACAATTTAGCTATATTATAATATAATATATTATACAGTGCAGTAGTTTTAGTGCGATTTTCAATAATCAATGCAAATTTGAAACATTTATAATTTGTACCCAGTAGTATTATGGTGTTATATACACTTTTATCTATATTTTTTTTTTGTTTTATTAATTACGATACAACAAGTGATCGAACAAATCTGAGTAACCTTTTTATGGTAATCTTTACTTATTGAACACAGTAAAAAAAATGCATATTTTACTTGTGGTGATTCATAATTAAAATTCTGGTTTGAATCGATTTTCCATGCAATGTACGTAATACAACGTATATCTACTTTATTTGGATTTATTCTTGAAATGGTAAATTTTTGAAGTCAGTTCGTAAGCAAAAACCTACAGAAATTAGGTAATCTGTACATTTTTCAGACGATATTTAAAAGTAAATGCTCAAAACTTCCTAGAAGATACGAATCTAATTTTTGGTGTTCCTAACTATGGCATAAAATCCCCTGTGTTTGCACCGAGTGCAATGTTGGTTTTCTAGAAAAAGTGATACATCAACCTACATTACAGGTACCTATGTTAAGCTCTTGGTTATTGGACAAGAAGAAATGGCTATTCGTTAGAAAATCAATGATCGATTTCAAAATTCAAAATCGAATTGTTCTTCTCGATGAATTCGCTAAATTTTTCTCTCCGGTAGCTCCTTAATATAATAGCTTCAAAATCTCGTCACAGTTGATATTTACGTAGCTTAGTCTATTATAAATATACTAATATGGTCATAAATATATTAGTATGGTCATTATAATTATATTAGTATGGTCATTATAAACACATTAGTATGGACATTATAAATATATTAGTATGGACATTATAAATATGTTATTATGGTCATTATAATTATATTAGTATGGTCATTATAAATATATTAGCATGGACATTTTTAATCTATTAGCATGGGCATTATACTATTTTAGTATGATCATTATAATAACGTTAGTATGGTCATTATAAATATATTAGCGTGAACAATTTAAATATATTACCATGGGTATTATAAATATATTAGTATGGTCATTATAATCATATTAGTATGGTCATTATAAATATATTAGCATGGACATTATAAATATATATAATTATATTTGTATGGTCATTATAAATAGATTAGCATGGTCATTATAAATATATTAGCATGGACATTTTAAATATATTATTAGGGTTATTATAATTATATTAGTATGGTCATTATAAATATATTATCATAGACATTTTAAATATATTAGCTATATTAGCTATTATAAATATATTAGTATGTTCATTATAATAATATTAGTATGGTCTTTATAAATATATTAGCATGGACATTTTAAATATATTAGCCTGGGCATTACAAATATATTAGCATGGACATTTTAAATATATTATCCTGGACATTACAAATATATTAGCATGTTCATTATAATAATAATAGTATGGTCATTATAAATATATTAGCATGGACATTATAATAATATTAGTATGATCATTATAAATATATTAGCATGGGATATTTTAAATATATTATGGACATTTTAAATATATTTAGCCTAATATTATATGATCATTATAAATATTATGAACATTTTAAATATATTAGCATATTAGCATGTTCATTATAATAATATTAGTATGGTCATTATAAATATATTAGCATGGACATTATAATAATATTAGTATGATCATTATAAATATATTAGCATGGACATTTTAAATATATTAGCCTGGGCATTACAAATATATTAGCATGTTCATTATAATAATATTAGTATGGTCATTATAAATATATTAGTATAGTGCACTACCTTCATCTTAAGTCGAGATTATCGTACTGACTATTGACCGTTTGCAAAACGTTCTCCGTTCCATTAAAATACGTTTTTTCATTTTTTTCTTTTTCTTAGAAGTTTTGCTTGTTTGTTTGTGTGTGTGTGTGTGTGTGTGTGTGTGTGTCTGTGCGCGCGCGCACGCGCATGCATGTGTTGGCGTGGGTGGTTGTGTGCGCGTGCGTATAGTTCTGTTCCAGACGGATATTTTAAATAGCAGTTCTCTCCCTTTGTTTTACTCTGATTTCTTTAAAGAAGAGGAAATAAAAGAAGGAAGAAGAAAAAATGCTCATATCGTTTTGAAATCACTATTATCCCGAAAATACGATCACTTCAGCTACGGTCAGATAATTACCTATCTCCTTGAAGGGAGATCGGGACGAATTGTCCGAAGAGATCGAAACCAATCTCAAAATTTCAAATCAAAATAATCTCTTCGAAGGAAGTGTGTGCAACAGACAGACAGAGAGATGTAAGAAGAGTGACAGGAACGGGCAAGTATTTAACTCTGTAGCCCGGTCTGTCCATATGTAACTTGGCGGAAGGAAGTGTGGATGGGCGGACAAAGAAAGAAAGAAAGAAAGAAAGAACGAAAGAAAGAGAGAGAGAAGGCAGGAGCTTGATTCTGCTTCTTCCTCTCTCACTTTCAAATTAGGGAGAATCTCCCCGAATCTTTCAACACCCGGGGGCCTTTTTGAATGTGGTAGGAGGGTCGGGAGTTTTTGAAGGGTGCCCTCAAATTTTCCTCCTTAAATTAAGGTGCAGAGTGAAGTGTACTCTTGACTGGCGTGAGCCAATCATTTCGACGATGTTTTAAGGCCGTCTTCATATCGACAAGTCCTGAAAAATAATAACTGACGGGTGAGGGGAATCAGACAAGGAGGAACAAGAAAAGAAATGGATGGATATAAGCGTGAAGTTTTTTTTTTTATTTCTAAATCGACAAAGTTAAAACATCCACTTAAATTTCCCTATATTTAAAATAAACATCACAAATAAGTTAGATAGACATATATATTTTCAGCGTATTTACATATCAATATAATTATATATTACAAAAATCCAAATTATAATTCTGATGATTGTTCATTGAAATGCCAACATTGTGCTGCTGGTCGGACTGGGAAATTCTTGAAGCTAAAAACTTCAAATTTAATTATATAAATACAGAAATAGTTAATAAAAATGAACACGCTACCACCCCTGTCTAAATGATTGGATTTCTCTGTATCCTTGGAAACAGGAAATTATGGATTTATATGTGTGTTTAAAACTCGGCAAATTTAAAAATGTTATTCCAAAATTAGCTTGAAGATGAAACAGAGCTACTGCTTTTAATTGAAATATAAAATTAAATTTGAAGTTTTTAGCTTCAGTTTTTGAAACATGGTTATTACTGTGTAGCGAAGGAACCATATTTTAAATCATTTAATTTATTATATATATATATATATATATATATATATATATATATATATATATATATATATATAATAAAAAAGCTTAAACACTAATATTCCATGGTCTAATTTATTCCACTGGAATCGTAAATGATCCAATTCATCAGATCTATAAATTCAAAAAGAATTTGTAGGTCTGGTGAATTGGATCCTATTTACGATTCCAATGGAATAAATTGGATCGTATTTACGATTCCAATGGAATAAATTATGACCATGGTATATTAGTGTTTAAGCCTTTTTATTATATCCTTACTCTGTCCTAGACATTGAGTTTTACCTGGATTCTATCCTCTTGGAATTATTTTTTTATACATATATATATGTATGTGTATGTATGTATATATATTTATATAGTTTAGATATATGATTGCATATGTATGTGTATATTAACCACTAATATATATATATATATATATATATATATATATATATATATATATATATATATATATATATGTTGTGGATTCCAGGATGAAATGAATGACAAACGCAGGAATGAAATATAGCAAATAAATGTATTGACGTAATAATACAATTGGTAATACGGTTAGTAGATCCAGAAATGCGGTTAGTAGCAATAATAATATATATACAGTCTGGAAAATTCAGTATCGAAGTATAGCTTCCTTTTGAGTCTACGTGCTCGCAACTGTAACTCCTACAAAGCGGTTATCTCACACTCTCACTCTCACTCTCTCACTGTCTCACTGTCACTCTGTATCACTGTATCACTTCCGGTTATTCACCGACAGCAGTACAAGTACACACTGGGCGAGTCCACTTGTTTGAAAAGGGGTGGACCCCTTAAGAATATATAAAATTGATGTGTATTGAGACAGCAGATCATTATTCAAGCATATATTGTTAAATATAACAGACAACGAATGTCTGTTTCGTGTGATCATGAGTCGCTCTAAGCATCGTAGTGTTGGTTTAAATTAATTTCGGGAAAAAGACAGAAAGAACTGTCCAACAGTTGGATATTTTTTGTTATGTTGTTCCTTGATTTGTATTATTCGGTCGAACTATCTGGGATATTCATGAATCTATAACTTACCGCCCACCGACCGGCAACAAAGTCGGCATTCTGTGTCATAACATAGCTGGTCAATGTAGATGGTTGCTGTGTGACCAACTCGTCTTGTGCCATTGCTAGGTTCCCTCGCGAATTATTGTTTTGCTCAACAGAAGTGTTCTGCTTAGCACTTTCGGCGTTCGAGTAAGATTCTAGAAATATTTCGAACGAGGCCATAAAGATATGTCTTTCGAGCCACTGTAGAAGCGGTGTTAAACCAAAAGGTGCCACTGCTTGGACATTAAATAAACCCCAGAGCCTAAGCTTGATGGAACCTACATTCGGAGGCTGAGAGCTCAATTTAACATCTCTTGGAGACAACATTCAACGAAATTGAAAATCATCAAGGTGTTTCAAAGTTACCCGAATGCCGGTTAATAAATCTTCTATGATAGATTTAATTCCTAGGGGTCTACCAAGAGCCCATCTTCTTTGATAAGATGTTCGTAACTCTTGGCACTCTCCAGGAACTCGGTAATATATATATATGTTCCTTAACATTATACACTTCGGGAGGGAGGACTTCCAACAAGAGGGCGATTTCCCGGACGCTACCTTTTTTTTTATTGCTGTTGTAGATGTCGTTGTTATTTTCCTTTTCATTTTGGCTGTCTTATTTTCGGTTGGTGTATTTTTCTGATTTCAGAATTTTGGTCATTTAAGGCCCCATGGCGCAATATCCTCCTAAATTTTTACATCTTTATCTGGCGGGGTTTTTTTTGTTTTTTTTTTCCGAACCAAACAAGTTCTTTTTAACAGACTGATTTTTTGTTGGCCAATTTTTTTAAAAAAGATTGTACACTATTTTGTTTTCTGTTTTTTTTTTACTTCTTAAAGACAAAACAAGAATTTAAAAAAAAAAATAAACAACTGCCCAAACGAAAAAAAAAAAGAAAGAAAGAAAAAAGAAACAGTAAAGTACAAATTATGACACAAATTAAAGCATGTCTACAAAATATGGAAAAAAATAAAATAATATTAGTTTAATGTACAAACAGTAATATTGAAAAAATATAAAACGAAAGACAAATAACAGGCTTTACCAGCAGTTGAAGAAAATTACAAAATGATTTAACGAGTAAAAAAAAGAAAAAAAGGAATTTACTTCAAAGACACGAACAATAAAACAAATACAAAAGGGGGGGGGTCTTTGAAATTAAAAAAATAAAAATAAAAAAAATCAATGCAAAATATTTAGAAACAAGAAAGACTGAAAAAAAAAATTAAACGCAGGTGTAGCAAAAAAAACAAAAAAAAAAGTTTAGCTTATCAAGAAAACAAAATGTCCGAAATAAACCGAAAAATAAAAATAAAATTGACAGAAACATAATAAAAAATTAAACTGGGAAATAAAATTAAAAACATGGGCTTTAAAGCGGTTTTTTTATAAGAATAAAGAAAGCAAAACTTAAACACTTACAACAAAATAAAAGTAAGAAAAAAAAAAAAAAAAAAAATAGAGCCACAAATAAAAGACGTTACACCATAAAAAAATAAAAATAAAATAAAATTAGCTTATCGCCGGGAAAGAGTGAAAGAAAAATGAAAAATAAAATACAAAAATCGCAACAGATACAGTCAATGTAAAGAAAATGTAACCAAAATAACTTAAAACTATTTTTAGCAGTCTCAGTAAAAATAAAATGAACGTGAAACAGTGGTGTAGTCTATGCAAGACTTAAACGGTCAGGCACAAAGTTAAAAAAGAAAGCGGCAGGCCAGATATTTGTTGCACAATATATATATATAAATGTATATATATATATATATATATATATATATATATATATATATATATATATATATATACAAGTATATAATTGGTGTATACGGAATGAATTCCAATAACCAACAATTACTATTCTTAAAAGAGTGCTCAATACAGAGTAGAACAGATATAATTATTCATTTAAAAAAATTATAACATAAATATGTTATAAAATCACCATTTTTTTTCAACACCCCGGTGTCTTATCAAATCATCAATTGATAAGACACCGGAGGTGTTGAAACAAAAATGTCTATTTTTGTAGTGATTTTAACATATTTATGCTATAATTTTTAATATAAATAATTATATATATATATATATATATATATATATATATATATATATATATATATAATATATAAATACGTAAAAATAAATACTTTCCTCAGTGTGTGTGTGTGTGTGTGTGTGTTGTGTTGTGTTTGTGTGTGTGTGTGTGTGTGTGTGTGTGTGTGTGTGCAAATACATCCCAAGGGCAAAATGAGGAAGGGTCGGATGGTCTTCACTTGTTCTATCGATAACTTAGCTAGCTTCAATCACTGACCCAGTCGTTCGTTTCCCCAAAACATCTTAAAAACATCTCCACAACACTGTCTTACACAGACACTGTAATTCCACATTTGCTTTAAGAAACCTTGTTTAATCCCATATGTACAATCTTTGAGGATGGCTGGATTGATAAAACCCCCAGTGTTCATGATGTAACTATATTTACACAACTAAACAAAACAGTAAGAGGACCCCTCCCCACACTTTATTAATGACAGAGATAACAGTTAAATGGGCGAAAAATAATGTGGGATTATTAAAAGTACTCACCTTCAAAATGAAAGACATTCCAAATTTACCTGAGAAAAGTTCCCACCTCCATATGACTCGTCCTGTCGCGTTGTCTAAATCACGAATCCCATAATGCCATACAAATACACTTAGTGATCATTATTCTTCAGCTGCGGCATAACATTGCTACAAACGAAATTGGCCTCGAGAACAAAAAGCTTTCGCCCCAGGATGTGGACCATATAGCCTTCTCTCATTTAGCAAAACGACCGTACGACGCTAGAGTGAAAGAAGATATGATACAAAGACCCATCACAGCCCACACGTTTTGGTGTAACTGTCAACCCCGCTGCAAAGATATCTTTGCTTATCCAGAGGGCCTTCCGTAACACCAGCCAGATGATTTATGCCACGTCTTTATTGAGGCTCCTCAACCCGGACGCCAAAGGCCTCATTTGTCAAACTGGGCACATTCCTTATATTATCTCGAATGGCCTCCCTCACTAACACACGATATAAAGCCTTAGGAGAAAACAGGTGTCAGAGAGGCATTCTTTTAATCCATGTAGAGCCTTTCAGAGCAAGCCGACACTCGCTATAGGAGCATTTGGTTTAAGGATTACGGTGGGCCTCCTCCTCACCACTAAGCACACTTCTCAAAGACAAAAAAAATCCTTTCTTAGCGCCTTCCCTCCAGAAGAGACCGTTACTTTCATCTTGCATACACATTTGATTCGAAAACTTGAGTCGCAGCGTCTGTTGACGAATCTCAACGCTGAGCATTACTTGATCCCCCCTCAGACGGGTGAAGGCAACAGACCTAGCGACCCACCTTAGGAGCCTTGTCGCCATACAGGACACGAAACCAGACTCGAACTAATTCGACCAGTTCGGTGTACGGATGCGAAAATTCTGAGGTAACGAAGTATGGAGAAGATGGACGAGGCACAAACTACCGCTCTCCCCTTTAAGGAAAGCCTCCTCCAGGACCACAGATGAACTGTAGCCTTGACGTTTTTCCGGACTTCCAACCAATTCTTTTCCAACTGGAGTCGTCCCTCTAAGGACCCGGGAATAGAGGCTCTATTCCACGCATCCATCCGCAAGTCTTCAAACTTATCGCGGTTCATATTGGCTCCTGTTACCATCTCATACCTGCTGATTTCCTTGCCAACTTCGTCAATCTCGGCCTTACTTTTCACGAACGCGGTCACGTCGTAGGATCGGATTCGCCTTCAGCCAGCGAAGGACGGACTCCAACACAAGGATGTACAGCATCGGCGAAAGCGGGCAACCCTGACGAATAGATCTGGACAACAAGAAATGTTTCGACCTGATTCTATTCAGTTACTCTACTGCACTAGGGGACCAATATAAAAGATGAATCCAGGATCTAAAGTACGAACCGAAGCAGGCCGACTCGAGTACAACCCCGAGCAATCGATGGTCAACTCTATCAAATATTTGAACTGATCTAAATTGTTTAGCGCGGCTTCACTGTCGACTTGTTCTACCATCAAGCGTACCAGATGAAGGTTGTCCTGAATAGTCCGACTTTTCACAGCGCAAGTCTGCCCGGGGTTAATTATACTAGGCAGGAAAAACCTGGAAATAGTTGGCCAAGACCTTGGCCCAAATCTTTAACTCGGTATTCAACATAATTAAGGGACGGAAATTATTAATCCCATCCTCTCCGTGATTATTCTTGCGAAGTAACTTGATCATACCTCTGGTGAAGGGTTCGGGAATATTCCCTTTCTTCGTCTATTGGTTAATGACCAGTGTCAGTAGAGGGGCAAACACGTGCGAGTGCATCAAATACACCTCACAGAGGAGACCATCAATACCCGGAGTCTTGCCTCTGCCGAAAAAAACGCAACCCAGATTTTCGCCTCTGTAATCGGACACCCGCACCCAGCTGCTTCGGTCGTCTCGAGGCGAGAAAAGGTGTCGAACTCATCGGGGCTTATTCCGGCGTCTCATGTAAAAAGATCCTGAAAATTAAATTGGAAAGCCTCACATATGCCGTCGTTTGTAATCACGGTACGCTCACCTGGCAATGCAATGCTAGTAATACGAGGGTCATTCAATAAATAAGGTGAATTTTTCGGTATAAGGATTCTAATACAGATAGAAGCTTACATCTTTTTTACTTTTCAACGTAATCTCCCAGCACTGTCACACACTTTTCCCATCTGTGCACAAGCTTCCGTATTCTCTCAGCGTAAAAATCTTTGAACTGATGTCTCAACCAGTCGCTCACAACACTTTTGACTTCATCGTCACTTTTAAACTTCGTGCCTCTCGTGAACGCTTTCAAGGGACCAAACAGGTGAAAGTCTGAAGGGGCAAGGTCTGGGCTGTAAGGGGGATGAGGGAGCAGTTCCCAGCCCAGTTCGTTGATGGTCTGCACCGTTTGGGCTGCTGTGTGAGGCCTTGCGTTGTCATGATGCAAGATGACTCCTTCTGACTGATGACCCCTGCGTTTGTTCTTTATGTCTTTCTTGACCTGCCGCAGAAGTTCACAGGAGTTCTTCTGTCAGACTGAATGAGGTCATTGAATGATTCGATCACCTCAGGAGACCTCACCTCTGTAGGCCTCCGAGGCCTGTCTTCATCCTCAACACTGCTCCGTCCTTCTTTAAACAATTTAGCCCACTTGTAGACATTTTTTTGGCTGAAACATGTGGCACCATACACAGTTGACATTCTCCTATGAATTTCAACTGGTTTGCACCCTTCAGCAACCAAAAACTTGATAACTGACCGCTATTCAATCCTAGAGCATGCTTCTTGGTCGGCCATCTTTGTTAATGGCCAAAACTCTCAAAGTTATTTTTTAATCTGAAAAAGAAATTAAATCCATGTGAAAAAGAAGTAAAAAAAAAAAAAAGAAAAAAGAAAAAAGTAAGCTTCTATCTGTATTAGAAGTCCTCATACCGAAAAGTTCACCTTATTTATTGAATGACCCTCGTATATCGGTCTGCTGTACTCCGAATTCAGCGGACGTATTTGTTGCCTCGGAAGACGTCCTTTTTAATCTAGCCTTAACTACCAAAGCTTGACCCTTCTTGATAAGCAAGGAGGCCAACTCCTCCCTTGCTAAGTCTATGTCCGCACTATAACCCTATTTTATAGCCCTTTCTACTCGAGATTCTTGTGCCATTTGCTCTGTTGGTTGAACCGCTTATAATAATCAGCAACAAACAAAGTAATGACACTCGTAAGGTGAGTCCACCACTTGTTCTCAACCACAGACCCCATCAATTCCCGCATTAGAGTTAGTAATAACTGGTCCTCAAAATCTTCTCATCGAACAAAGATGTGTTGATTTTCCAGTACACAGAAATGTTAATCCTCGGCCTATCTTAGTTTAGACGAACCAAGATAAGCTTATGGCCGGAATAAACTATGGAATGAAAATTTGAGCAGCCTATATCCTAAAACTGGAAAACGCAATACCGAAGCCAAGCCGCTCCTGTTAGTTCAATTCCACACTACCTCCCGGGGAAGGTCCTTCCTGAACTTATCGACAAGATCTAACCTGTCGATAAAGTCCACAAATATTTTACATCCGTGTTGTTAGTACTGAAACTAGTTCCCGTACGATCTATATCGGGATCGAGGACGGCATTCCAGTCACTCGATAAAATAACCCGTCGACATGTCGTCAGAAAAGGATCGACCACCGAAGAATTTACGATCGCTCCCTATTCGTTGGCCGAATAATAATTTCCCAGTGAAACGAAACGCCTGATCCGTTATGGTAACATCCACGACGCAAAGCCTGCCCACCGTATCACCGAAAACAAGCATACTCAGAGCCTTGGTATATCGCTCAACTACGATCCACGCATAATAATCAAGGGCGTTGCAGTCGGGATAGTTAGGTGGGCAGAGGCAAGGGGTGATGTGGTCGCAGAAATTGTCTGACAGCCATGACTGGGCTACCCTGTATGTGTGGCATGGTGCATATTGCAGTTTTTGTGTGTGTGTATATATATATATATATATATATATATATATATATAACTAGTGAGCCAGTCAAAATGACTGAACTCACTTTATAGTCCACCAATAGAAAGTTAACCAATCAGAAGACGTAGAATATTCAATCCGTCGTGTATAAAGGCGGCCATTTTGTCTACTCTATCCGAATGTTCAGTGCCAGATTGTCAGGCGAAGAGGAACAGAAGGAAGGACTACGCTCTGCTACTTTTACCAAAATATCCACTGCTAACCTGAACAACGCTTTCCTACTGTCTTCGAAATATTCACTGCTAACCTCTGGATTCTATACTCAAAGACAACCGTCATGAGGAATAACAGTGCAGACATAGGATCTTCCAGCAGACAGCCTCATGAACCAGGTCAGCGCTACTTCCTCAAGGCACTTGATGTAAGGCCTTTGTCTGAGGCTCTGTGTGAAGATGAATGGAGGCATAACGTTGCTATCATGACTTATCACTCCCAAAACCTTCGTAATCACCATTAGACTCATCCAACTCTTTCCGAATCTCCTGAAGTGTCCTAAGATTTATATAGAAACACTTTGAAATATTCGTATTGGAGATTCCGGCGCGAATGCCAAGCAGTACAGAATAACGTTTCCAAATTTCTGGCGGAGTGAATTGCGTCATGGTGCTCATTTTCTCACAGACGGTACCCAACTGACCCTACTATACTATGCAGTCGACAAACATAAACAAACAATGGGCACGCAGGAAATTAAAATATAAAATGACGACAATTAACCCATCACCCCCCCACACACTATATATATATATATATATATATATATATATATATATATATATATATATATATATGAAGAAATATAGTTTTAAGGTCTGCTGTATTCATGGCATAAAGTGGTCAATATCAGAAATAGAGCGTATGTAATTATAAAATTGATGATTGTATTTAGTATGAAACAGTCTGTCGCCTCTGAGTCTTGACTTCAATGTTCACTTATATATATATATATATATATATATATATATATATATATATATATATATATATATATCAACTGATCGACTTTTACAAATTACTTATAATACTAAGATAAGTAGAAGGATCATTTGTAATTTCGAAAAGTCAGTCAGTATACGTAATCAACTCAAAATGTCTGTTAATTGCCTAAACACATAGAATATATCTATCTATCGATCTCTCTCTCCCTGTTTTTCTCTCTCTCCTGTCTCTCTCTCTCTCTCTCTCGCTCTCTCAATAATATATATATATATATATATATATATATATATATATATATATATATATATAAATTTTTTCATTTGTATATTTTAGTGTCTGGAAAACGCCCGAAGCTATATTAAAACAGAGACATTCCTTAGATAGCAGACATTAATATTACACATGCCTTTCTTTAAGCAATTATGCCTTAACAAAAAAATTAGCTGTATAGTTGACCCCACGAATAAATATATGCTACGACATGTAAGTTCATTAAACTCTGATGGACAAATTACCTCCAAATACATGTATTTTATTATAAAAACGATTTTCAAATCATAGAACTATTAGATGTTTATTTCTTCCATCTGTGCTTGCTTTTTGCTCCTATTAATATAATATCGTACACGCACGCATATATATATATATATATATATATATATATATATATATATATATATATATATATATATTCCTTATTACCATGAAAAACCTGAAGAAAGACCTGATAATATATTTTTAATTACTATAAACATTATATTTAACGGGTATATGAGTTTCAGTAGATCATCGCTCTTACTTCAAGGCTTACAGCCACATCATGCTGAAACACTGGCTCTTGTACAATCATCGAAGTTAAGCAAAATCGATCCTGATCAGTAGCTAGATGGGTAACCTCTTGGGGATAACAGGTGCCGTAATCTTAGATGTGGAGGTGTTGTAATGGATAATGGCTCGGAATTGTTAATCGGAGAGTCGAATTCCAGTTGTTATAATCATTTACACGTAAATATCCTTGGAAAATATATGACCCCATCTCTTCTCCCCCAAGCTAAGGGTTAATTAGTAAAACTTTTAATACTAAATAATACTGTTATTATCTCCCACACAAAATTAAAATTGCGTAAAAATATTTAGATTTTGGCATAAAGTAACTCATACAGGTTGATATACCGCTAAACAAAATCAACAAACCGGTTATTTTAAGCAATACAATTTATGCCTACGCTTCTAGATATTGAGAAAAGACTTTATGCTACCGGCCTAGAAATAAGGTATCTCTATTGAAACAAATACGCCTCCCGACAGAAATCGAACCTTTATTCCATTTTTCTATCAGCGAAACCACATTTTTTAAGCTAAAGTGTTTCCCTACCAATTAGGCCACGAGAAGCAATCATGGAAGATCAGGTTTGGTTCGGTTTACGGCATATCAACCTCAATGGGTTATTAAAGATTTTTATTGCTGGTTATATTTTCTTTCTTTCTTTCTTGATTTATTTCTATCTATCTATCTATCTATCTATCTATCTATCTATCTATCTATTAGTTTGGTTTATTTTACGGCATATCAACCTCAATGGGTTATTTAATGGCGGCAAGATCTTTATTACTGGTTATATTTTCTGTCTATCTATCTATCTATCTTTCTATCTATCTATCTATCTATCTATCTATCTCAGTATATATTGGTTTGTTTTTTTTACGGTCTATCAACCTCAATGGGTTATTTAATGGCGGCAATATTTTTATTGCTGGTTATATTATCTATCTATCTATCTATCTATCTATCTATCTATCTATCTATCTGCCCAGTCTGTTTTTAATCTATCTATCTCAGTATATATTGGTTTGGTTTGGTTTGTTTTACGGCATATCAATCTCAATGGGTTATTTAATGCCGACAAGATTTTTATTGCTGGTAATAATTTTTTTCCAAAAATGTATTTTGCTGGTAATATTTTGCAAAAATGTATTTTGCTGGTAATATTTTGCAAAAATGTATTTTGCTGGTAATATTTTGCAAAAATGTATTTTGTTGGCAATAATTTTTCCTTCAAACATTCATTGCTCGTAATAATTTCTTACAAAAAATTTCTCTCAGTAGGGATCCCATTTTTTAAACGGTGTCTAGCCGGAAATAAATATATCTGATTGATTTGATTTGTTTGCTTAACGGCATATCAACATCTTGTGGGTCAGTTAATGCCAAAATTTAATTTGGGATTAGATTTTGAAGTAATAAAAACATGATATACGTTATTCTGCTTTCACAATTGAATACATGGTAGATGATACTCAGCTTTTGTACATATACATGTTTGTGTAGACACAATTACGAGAATCGGTGAAGTGAATGTTTTATGTTGTAGGTTTGTTTAGCGGCATATCAACAACTCAATGGGTTATTTAATACAGAATTCAAAGTATTTTGAACAAAATTTTATGGTTTTAGTTAAATACTTTTTGCATGCCATTGTATGACTTCAATTATAGGAAATGTGGTAATTTTGAAATAAAATGTGTTGTTGGTCATTTTCCTTTATTACGACGTTTTGGCCGTTGTACGCTCCGGCCTTCTTCAAGTGGTTGGAATGTCGAACTTAACCCTTTATTTCGCTCGCTGGCGTAGACTGTTCTAGATCCACGTGTCATGTTTAATGGATGTCAGTTATCAGTTGTCTCCTGTTAATTTCCCTCTGAAAGTTCTCCACTGTCTTAACCAGATATTGAACCTCTTTGGGTCCTGTCACTGGATCTAACCAACGCCTTTATCCACTGTGCCATGTGTCCTTGAGGACATCTGAGTATGAATTTCTGGATATTATAAACCTAATGTCTTCAGCAATCATTTTTTACCAGTGCTCATATTGCAATTTTGCTGTTATCATTACATGTTTTACCAGAGCTCATATTGCAACTTTTGTTGTTATCATTGCTTTTCTCTGGCACTCCTTATTTCTGGTTCCATTTTGTATTTATTTCTATGCTTGGTCGGCTCAGGAGATTTTCAGCAATCCGTTTTTGAAAAAAGTAATATTACCAGCAATACAGGTTGAGGAAAAATATTGCCAGAAATACCTTTTGGAAAAAAATATTACCAATCCTAAAAATCTTGTCGGCATAAAATAACCCATTGAGGCTGATATGCCATAAACCAAACCAAACCAAGCCAAAATGGTCTGTTCAGCAATGCACCCTTAGATGAAACTATTAACATTTGTGCCGACTTACCGAGGCCCCTTAAAACCTCCTGCTTTTCCCTACGGTTTCCAACTGGACCTGAACAAATATGGGTTCGATTCTACACCGAATATCATGTGTCATTTGATATTTCTAGTCTGTTCGCCAATGTACCCCTAGATTGACATTTGTGACAAGTATTTATACTGAGACAACATAAAACTTCCTCCCTTCTCTGAGAATTATTATTATTATTATTATTATGAGCTGATAGAAGATGGCTACTAAGTGTGTCTCGTTCAGTTTTAATAATGTTATGTAAAGACAGATTGATGGAGTGTCAATGGGTAGTCCACTGGGACCTTTTATGGCTAATATTATCGTAGGTTTTCAGGAGACATATATGTTTGAAAAGGTTCCAAACCATATCGTCACGTATGTTATTTCGATAATTTGCGTTTTTTTTTCTCGGCGTGATTTAGACGACAATTTATCCATCCCAACCTGTATATATCGGTAATAATTTGGAATGTTATTTTTAATCCAAGATTTTCATTAATTCAAAAGTAATTATAATGGATACTCGATATTTGGCTTCCTCTAAACAGGGGTGGGGAGAATGTTCGATATATTTCTGTACTGAGATTTCTCGAATGCGCGCACGCAAATACACGCAATAAACACCGTTTAAAAAAATAAAAATTGGACTTCTATTCTATAATAAAGTTCGAAGTAATATACATATATATATATATATATATATATATATATATATATATATATATATATATATGAGAAAGATATATATTTTAATATATCTGGAACAATATTTGGGATTAATGTATGACAAAGTGTTAAAAGAATTTCTATTATCTCAGAGTGGTTTTATCAGAGTGGCAAGGTCATTCACAGAAAATTTTCGCCAAAGGCACATACAGACTTTTACCATTCCTGGCAGAACTTCTATTATCGCAGTGCGGGATATCTACTAACGAAAGTGATGAAAAGAATAAGAAACTAAATTAAATCGGCTACATTAAAAGATTTAAAAAAATTTTAAATTTTTAAATTTTAAATTCCCACCATCACTTGATCGTGCGGATGTGTTGTTGCACCAACAGAACAAATTTAGGCCGAGGTAATGCGTCACAAGACAACTTTTATTAATTCTCCATTCATTTTCCCAATATATATATATATATATATATATATATATATATATATATATATTTGGTTGGATATATATATATATATATATATATATATATATATATATATATATATATTTGGATAGATGTGAGTTTGTGACCCTGGGTGTCACGCTTTAGTGATCGTCAGACGATCGCTAAAGCGTGAAACCCAGGGTCACAAACTCACATCTATCCAACCATATATGTTAACTCTATCTCTGATATTGAGCGCTTTCTAATAAGTACCGCGCATATAATATATAAATATATATATATATATATATATATATATATATATATATATATATATATGTATTTACACACACCATATATATATATATATATATATATATATATATATATATATATATAATCAGTGATAAAGCGTACGGAAATTGGACATTGATGCAAACAGTCTATCTTCTTTTTTTTTTTTTTAAGAGTTTCACCCCAAGCAAGGCGGGAAGCCACTAGGATGCAAGGGGTTACAGGAAATAACAAGATCAGATAGGAGTGAGAGAAGAAAGGATGAGGGTAGTAGATAGATTAAGGCAACTGGAGTTGTCGATTGACATTACACTTGAATAGCTGGAGATTATAGCTCGCAGGGAAACAGGAGGAGGAAAGGGAGTTCCACAGGCGAGAGGTGCGAGACATGAAGCTATTAGAGTAGAAGAGACGGCTACATTTAGGAGTTTCGACAGTGAGGGGGTGAGAGCGGGATGCCAGCCTCGTAAGTCGCTGGAACTCATGACGTCTGGGAACCAGCGAATGCAGCTCCTCGGAGAAATTTCCATGAAAGTATTTCTAGAACAGACAGAGGGAGGCCAAGGCGCGTCTGTGAGAAAGTGACTGTAGACGAGACGCCAGGGCAGGGCCAACCACATTGCATATCCGCCTCTGGAACCTATCAAGAACCCCGAGGCAGACAGAAGGGGTGCCAGAACATATATGGCAGCAATACTCCATGCAAGGGCGAAGTGTGGATTTGTATAGCTGGAGGATCGACTCAGGGGAGAAAAACTTCCTAGCGCGGCTCAGGGAGCCAACTTTCCTCGCAGTGGACGAGGCAATTGACTCGATGTATTTATTCCATCTCAGGTCAGCAGTCAACGTGAGACCGAGAAGCCGCAGAGAGTTGCTCTCGAGAAGTTGAGCGTCAGACATTCTAATGGAGGGAAGGATCCCTGTGGTGATTAATAGAGAGCAGTTTTGTCTTAGAAGCGTTGAAGTTGACCAGTCAATTCATGCCCCAGTTCACAATCGATTGGAGGTCCTTTTCGACACGCACGGCAAGGTGAGTTTTGTCAGCGAGACTAGATTTGTTTTTGAGGCAGGAATAAATTGTGGTGTCATCCGCGTAGATGCCTACTTGGGAAGTTACGGCGTCGGGAAGGTCATTTATGTAGATAAGGAATAGAGTGGGGCCTAGGATGGAGCCTTGAGTGACACCTGCGTTCGTGGGATAGGGACTGGAGGAGAATCCGTTGAGAACGACCTTCAGTTCTCGGTTTGACAGGAATGATTGTATTAGGTTATATAATCGACCCGTAATGCCATAACTCTGGAGCTTGCGCAGAAGGCCGGCATGCCAAACCCTATCAAATGCTTTGGAGATGTCAAGTGCCACGGCTCGGGCTTCCCCATTATTTTGGAGAGCTCGGTAGACTGTTTCAGTGATGGCTGTGAGCACATCGGCTGTAGATCGGGCAAAGCGGAAACCATATTGCTTGTCAGAGAGCAGATTATGGGATGTGAGGTGGTTAACTACCCCGATATTGATTAGAGCTTCGAAGACTTTGCCGAAGAGGGGAAGGAGACTGATAGGACGGTAGTTGGAAGGGTCAGAGGGGTCGCCGGAGTTCTTGAAGACAGAAACGATCGAAGAGGACTTCCAGCAGTCAGGAAAACAAGATTCCTTGAGGTAGTAGTTGTATAGTTTCGAAAGGGCGGGCGCCAGTTCAGGCGCGCATTTCTTCAAGACAATGGCTGGTATCCCGTCACCGCCACTAGCTTTGTTGGGATCTAAATTAGAGATAACGCCCAGTACCAAAGATGGGGTTATGTTTAATCCACTCAATATGGCCTCAGTTCTAAGTCGGGTATGGGTTCACCGGAAGAGTCGAGCGTAGAGTTGAATGAAAATTTCCGAGCAAAGCATTCAGCCTTGTCGGTAGAGGAGGTCAGGACTTCGAACTGGTTGAATAAAGGAGGTATAGAGGGTTTGCAATTGTTCAATACGCTCTTGCAGAGACGCCAATAATCTTTGGAGCCAAATTTGCAAGATGCAATACGTTCTTTCATTCGAGCCGCAAATAGTGACTTAGCATCATTGAGGACACGCTTACACTCGTTACGGGCGGAGGTAAAGAGACGTCTATTGCAGTTAGATATGTCGCTACGGTATAGGTGGAAGTAGTGGTTTCTATGGGCGATGGCGG